GCCCTGGGTTCAACTCCTGGGCTGCGGTCTGTGTGGTGTTTGTATCTTTTCCATGTGTTCACCTGGGTCTCCTCCAGGTGCTCCAGTTTCCTCCCACAATCCACAGACATGCTGGTGGATTGATTGGTTTCTGAGAAAACTGGTCCCGGTGTGAGTGTGTGTGCCCTGTGATGAACTGGTGTCCTGTCCAGGGTTTACCCTGCCTTGCACAGCTGTTGCTTGTCAGAAACTGAATTAAAGACAATGGATGGCTGGCTTTTGTGTTTTGGCCTTGAAATATATTTTCGGTAATTTAACAGACGGCATGGTAATACCTGACACCCCTTTCCCTCTATTGCTCCTGTAAAGTGAGGGTGCACTGTAACTTCAAAAATAAAAGGGCTCTGGACTTCTAATTGGAAGGTTATGGGTTTAAATCGCGGCCAGTGTAAGCTGCTTTTAGTAACTGTATTAGGACTACAAATCAACAATGAATAACACAGGCAAAACTACCAAGGCAAGCCCCCAATGTACTTTGTCTTGGGTTGACATTGAACGTTCCAAAACAAATTTAAAAAACCCAGCAAGGGTGTACCTGACGGTGGCGTCCACAGATATGTCCACGTTGATGCTAGCAGAGAGCGTTTCCGCTGAGCCCTGGGTGACAATCGCTGGGACGCCCATCACGGTCAGACCGGCCATCTTCAGCATTCTGTCCACCGTCACGTTGTAGTGCTGGGTCAAACTGCTCACACGGTTGGAAGCCATGACCTGCAGAATTCACCGTAAGGGAGAAACGGCGTGGATCAAAGTGTCACACGAAGGAATGGGTAGCCAGAGCACATTACTTGGAGAGCCAGCAAGACACCTACTCCAAAGCAATATTTAATCCAAGCAAAATTAAACCACGATTTGTACATGCTAAGAGTGTCCAACCTTTCCCTGGTTTTACTAATGAGGTACAATTATCATAGATACCATTTTCTTTTTTGAGTTTGCAAAGAAAACATACATTTTGTGCATTAGAAAAGACTGGAAACAGGGCCTGCTTGGCAGCTAATGTAGAAAGTTAAGGATCATTAACACTTCCAGTTTCTTTTGGCTAAAGTCCAGATATTCTTTTTCCATTTTACCTGTCTAATATTTAGCTACCATGTAACCTATTTATTTAACCTAGGGGAGTATTTCAAGGCCAAATAAAACAAGTACAAGGTACTCACACATAGGGTTATAAAATGGACAATATAAAATTGCAGTGCTTTTCAAAAGTATACACTCCCATACCAATAATATTGCATTTTGATTAAATACAAGTAAGACATGCAAGACTTCTCAAATGAACAGTTTTTATCCAAAATTGCAATCAGTTTAATCACTCTTTTATGTGGAGAAGGTTGAATTGCAGGAACATTTATGGAGGAAGATATAAAAATGTGAAATGTACTCATCACCTTGGACATACACTCAAGGACAATAACTTTCTTCTTGGCAAACTTATCACAGTTATCTTCAAATTATTACTTCACGCATGAACTGATTTAGCAAAGGGGCTGCATGGATTTACATAGTTTCATAAGTATTTTCAACATTTTAGCTTTATCAGTATGAGGTAGATTTTGAAGATTCAAAATAGAATGTCCCGTTTGGAAAGCGTCATGACTGACAGCATATCAATTTGAGCACAGTGCCAGGGGGTGAAGGGTTGTGCAAGAAACTGTATATTATTAAACCACACGTTTCTTTACTTAAGCTGCGAAATAGAAAGTATTGATTAGAACTGACAGAAAATGTGGCTGGTCAGGAAAGAAAAAACAATGAATGCTCTTTAGAAATTCAGCTGGGAGAACACCAGATCAAACAGGTCAGTCGGGTTAAGGTAATTCCAAATATATAGTAATAATAAGAGTATGTGACTTTTTCATATTTTATATCAGTACTGTTTCACTAGATTACCATTAGATGTTGCATCAATGCATTCCTATAATTGTTATGTAGTACAATTTGAATTGCAGTCTTTTAAAATGGTAATAGCAAAATGCTGACACAAAAACAGACACCATTACTGAAATTGCTTATGTACAAAAAGGCTTCTAATGACCGACATAAAGAAAAGTTATGTGTAACTTCTTTCTAAAAAATAACAGCAACAACACAAAGATATAAATGTATTATCATTGCCTCTAGACTATCAGATGTAAAAAGAATGAAACCTACTTTATTTCATTTGTGATTATTTTATGCTCAGATTCCTATAGTCTGAAGTAATTATAGCTGTTAAATGAGATGAATGAGAAACCCATGAAGCGATTAGCCTTCAATTCCTGCAGCTCTATGAAACTGAAAATTGAAAATCCTTCACTCTATAGCTCCCTAAAACATTAGTTAATAAATCAATTTTGAAACATATAATAAAGGACCATAATAAATTGAAAAGTGCCCAATTTATATTTAGAAATTAAAATTTACTTTGTCTATCAACACAAGTATAACACATACTTAAAATGTTCTTTTCCACAAAAGGTGCTACAGTATAATTACATGAATAATTATATGAATGATGGATCTAAAAATTATGAGATCAAAATAGGCCTGAGCTGATACTCACAGACAGCTTATATACCGCTGCATTCTGGTAAATGACATTGAGCACAGTGTTGTAATATGTGAAGGACGGTTTGTCATCAACGGTCCACTTGAAAATGACATCAGAACCCTCCTCTACTGTTGCAGTGTAACTCTGCAAAAGAAGAAGACATTAAACAACTTTTAAAAATGCCATATTTTGCCATGACACAAGAAGAAAAAACATCTATTCAATTTGTTGCAACTTGGCTCCATTCCTTTGCATAAATCTCTATTTCAATACAGTGAAACGGACACTGTATGCATGTAATTTACAAACTGTTTATTTACAAAGCTGAGGTACCCTATCTCAAGGGTATCAAGTATCAAGTTATAACAGATCATGTGGGAATGTGTACACAACACCGTCGGAATATAAATGCCATACTGTGTGTGTACACATGCCCAAGTCCAGAATTTATTTGCAAAATCTTTTTGTAATTGGGCCTCCTGAGTAGCTCAACAGATACATTCTGGAAAACACACACACAACTGACTATCACAAATTGAATGGGTATAGCAAAAATAATTGGTGATTCTAAATTAAAAAATATTTAGATTCACAGCCCCTACATGCCAAATCAACTGAACAAATAAAAGATAGGAAAATCAATAACACAGAAAGAAATGTTTTAAAAACATATATACAGTAATGAGTATACTGAGCCATTGCGCGGTGAATAAGCAAAATAAGAGAAACACAAAACATGTTTTGAAAATTGCTCTTCATATTCTATGCCTTATTTTATACATTTTCCATAAGTAAGTGTGGAAAATCTTGCAGGTACACCAATCCAGAAAAACAAATTCTTAAAGCTTCCTCCTAGTCTATATTTCAAATCGGTGCAAATCAACCGACTGCTTTTCGAATGCATGAAGGGTGGACTCACAGACTTCCAAGATTGATATATACGATTATTCTAAGGTTCTAAGGTTATTCTACTGTACATGCCTGCCGATCACTTTCTTTTTGTTTCTACAGTATTGAGTTTTCATATTTACAACCTAGATAGTTTCATTCACACTCGATGTTGAATGTTTGTTCTGCAATGGACTTCAGAAGCTTCTCAATTTCATAGCCACGCGTAGCTGTTCTGTATCTTCCTGCTCAATTGAAATCAGCAGATCAGGACTCCAGTGGCGCAAGACTGGGGATGTTCCTGTCGTGGTTAAGACACCCAGAAACACTGGCTGTAAAATTCTCAGTGGGAAATGAGAATTAGTATGATCGGATGGAGACCTGCTTGCAAGATGTGTACTACAGTGGGATAAATTGTCAGTTAGGGAGGGTCATGGACATGTATTGAACTCTTCAGAATGACAAGGAAAAGATGACGGAGAAGAATAAAAAGATGAAGAGCATCTTACCACTAACGACTCCATTAGCACTCTCTGGTTTGGATTGGGAACAATTTTCAATCCTCTTAGAGGTTCTTCCACTTTGACCTTGACTGTGAGGTTGGCAGCGCTCAATGGATTTTCCACCGTGATGACAACCTGAGACTCCTGGGGGGCTGTCAGGTCCAAATCCATGTAGGCAAACAGAGTGCTGTTGTCTGCGTTGCCCCGACAGGCCTCAACCGCAGAGGCAAGCTCTGTGGGGCAGGTTTCTTGGAAAGGGAAAGTCTGGTTGCTGCCTTGCCAGCGGGCAACAGCCCTGCCCCAGGAGGTTATCTTCACAAGAAGGAAGGTGTGGTTAGTGGGCAAGTACAGAGTGCCATCTTGGCTGGGCGGGTAGACTACAGCTACGCTGAGCGGGGGAACTATTTGGATGGTGCAGGACGTTTGGCTTGAAAGAGCTTCGCTTTCTGCAGACACCTGAAAAGTGTACAGGCCTTGATTGGGCAGGCCGGCTTTGAGAAGCTCACTCTCGATGGGCACCACCTGCTTCCGAGTGTACAAGACTCTCAGGTAGCACACGGCGTCTTCAGTCCAGGCCCCAGGCGCTGTGTTGTCGAGGGAGGGAGTTATCCAATCAGAGTGGTTCACCGTGAAGTAGCTCTGTCTCCATGGAGATGAAGGGTTTCGGTCACAGCTGATGAGAAATCCAGGCCCTGCATCATGCTGGATAGCAATGAAGTCACCGGGAGAGACGTGGATATCCTCAATCCCTTCTTTTACCTTTGTACAGGCAGGGAGACAGAGTGAATCAGTCCACGACTTTGGTCAGTGCATGTCAGGAAAAAGACATAATAAGAATCCTAAGAATCTGAGCTGTCTGACAACAGCAGAAAAACAACAAATCAGAAATCTAGAAAAATATAGTTCTTTGTCGAATGCATGGGCGTATCTGTCTGTCACTCGAAAACTACAAAATTACAAACTGATGGCACAATCTATCTAGGTGCATAGAAATCAGTACAAATAGTAAAAAAAAAACAGCCAGAATGTTAAGAGTTAAATGAACAGACACCTTCCCATCCCTCTGACTTAGAAAGTATACACTCTTGGACATCGCTACGTGAACTGTCACTGCTGAGGGATGATCAAGAAGGCACAGTATTACACCAACCTCTTTTGCATGTTTGAGTCCAGGTGTAAGACTGCCCGGTGAGCAAATAAAACGTGTTTTTCCACGCACCAGGGCTTGCTATTCTAACTGCAGGGCATACGGACTTCATTGTTACTTACCAAGTAGTGTCTGGATTTTCCAGGTGGCAGGGTGAAGAGGACTTCTTCAACAAGGCTGTAGTTGGGGTGAGTGAAAGCCGAGGAGAGGGATCTTGCGCTCGAGCAGTTGGAGCACAAACTGGGGTGGCAGGGGCTGCTAAGGGGCAAACATCTGGACAGGAAATGGCACCATTGCTGTTGAGCTGGACAAGAGCCCACTGTGATGTTCACCTCCTCCTCGTAGCACACAGCTGTGGGCACACAGAGCTCTCCGCACACTAAAGAAAGTTAAATACAGTACATGTGTTCAAGGACAGAATGGCAGACAGTAAAGCAAATAATCTGTACCCTTGATCAGAAATTAGCCTGTTTAAATTACAAAGAACGTCTGAATGCATATTTTATATTGCCATACGGCTATTTTCTCATGATCAGTGACTATGAGTACGAAAAACACTGTCATTATTGAAGGTAAAGTCATCACACGGCAACACAGTTTTGCGAATAGCAAGTTGGTTTAAAAATAAACGTAAAACAATTTTCCTGAACAGAACCACAAAAGATGACAAAATGGGGAAATGGAACTCAAAAGCTTCAAGGAAAAGTAAAAGAAGGGCAAATGTAACACATTTTCAAGAAGAAGCACTTAATCCTGCAGTCACAGGTTTGCACCAGCTGGACTTCATTCCAAAAGAAAATCATTTTGTGAAATCCAAGCAACACAATCTTGTTCTTATTTTCTACCCTCGGAAGAGTTTTCAGTTTTCTGTAAGGTTTTTACATGTTCTAGCAAATTTGGTCGGACTTGAAGATTGATATTAATTTGGAGGTACAGTTAACTGCTTTTAAATGCGTTTTTCCACCATTTAAAGTGAGATCTGGTAGTCTATGAATAAATTCATAAACCAGAGGATCATATTGACTGATTTTTGTTGTTCATCATTGTGGCCTGTATTTGGACATAACAGTGATTTTCATTGCTTTGTGATCTGATTTATTGTTTGCCAGAGAACTCAGTTTATTGTGTTATAGCCCGTGGATATACTGTATGCATTTCCAAATACATACTGAAGATAAATATATAACTTAGTACAGCTGAGAGAGCTTCTACATTGAAGAAGGGCCAAATAACTGTACATGCTCATCACAGCCTTCTGATTTTTCATTAAAACATTTTTATTCAAAGAAGACTTCAAGAAAAATAGATCTATAATATTCTTGTTGTTCCATAAACTAAAAAAAATAACTGTATTTTAAATAAAAAGTTATGTTCCACCTTAAACTTCAAGGTCAAGTCACAAATTTTACAGTACATGACATCAAAGTAATCATGATAGCCAAAGCGAATGTTTTATCACTGTGCAATGATTTTAATACTAATGTTTCTCTGAGAAGCTCATTTCTGAATCTTTTCTGAAGGGAAGCTGCAAAAGGCAATTTCCATGCACCTGGAGGACTTGTGGAAAGACTTGAAAACAGTTGTACAGTCCCTCTGGCTATTACATAAGTGCTATTGCCCAAGTTACATAAGGAAGCACAGGTGAGTGCTTAAGGTGACCTCATTCTCTGTGTCCTGGAGAATATGACGGAAAATGTTTCATATAAAAATGAATGACCATAAAAAACATTTTCTTCCCATCTGTTTTTTTTTTCCTTAAGCTAATGGCTATTAAAATGATTTCCTTTTTAAAAGTCTTTTGCTTTTGACTTGTCTCTTTCTTTTGCAGCTGTTTGAGTTTTTACCTCTCCTCGTCCTGATTTTAGAGCATTGTCAGCTCAGTGAATTAATAATACTGTAGGCCGCAGGGAGGGAGAGAACTGTGACATCAAAGGAAGGAGTATGTACTAGTCTGTTACACAGGAAGCAAATCAAATAGAACCAACCTCCCTGGGAGTGCCGTGTTGTGATCAAACAGTCCAGTTCCAAGTTGGCCATCACCATGGAAAGCTGAAAGCTGGCTGACCATCATGTACAATAAATGTATTCCTTCTCCTACTTACCAGTCACCACATTGAGCAATTGTGTAGGTGCATGCAGACTTACAAAACCTCATTAGATAACACTAGAGAATAAAAATAAAAAGATGTTCCATTTGTTTGTTTTAGATTGTGGGCACAACGTAAGAGAAGATCAATCTGTTGCAATTGGGTTCAGATATGGGAGAATAATACAAGTCCATTCATGAGAAATACTCAGAAGTCTTGAGATCTGCCCGTAAACTTGACAGTAATACATACAGTAAATAAGAACCACCTCATACCTGGCAAAAGAAGATGGAGATCCCGCCGTGTGCATTGTGGTCTATAAACCTGAAACCTAACTTGCACTAGATCTTTCAGCTCCTGGATCACAAGCTCCAGAGCTGACAGGCGGCCTCCATTCCTGAACCACACACTTGGGAACATCAGCAACTGTGAACAAAACAGGCACATGAGTAATAGGCAGTGCTCGCAGTTCAGGCCGGGTATTTCTGGTTTATATACTGTAGCACTATAAGCAAGGCACGTGAGCACAAGAACCGGGTGATAGAAACGTGAGGCGGCCTTTCTGCTAATCAACACAGACATCTACTGATGCCACAGCTGCCTCTTGTTTCGCAGAATACAGAACCATCGGAGCACACCACTTCTGAAAGGCCGCTTCAGGAAAAAAACACATTCCAGTTAGAAGTTATTTAAGAAATCGGGACTGCAAGCTCTTTAGTCGGGATGGAATATTTCCTTACTTCCACCTCCCTTGCAGGGTTGGTCAAGACCGTGACCGTGGCTGCCGGTTCGAATGGCCAATGTCTGCTGAAGACGGCGCAGCCTTCCAGGAATACATCTGCATCAGGTATTGTTGCTGGAAGCGGGAAGGAGAACAACACATTTTGGGGTTTAAGAAGCAGCTCTAAGCTCAAACCTTTTCTACTGCTGGTCTTTGTAAAACACAAAGCCTGTCTGGGACTCGAATACGTGAGACACACAAGTACTAGCATGGTGAATGGAAGCATGTCGCATCGAGTGCTATAACTACTTGCTGTGCTTCTGCTTACTAACTTATTTCTCAAAGAACCTATGAGAGAATTAAGAAAACATGTATAAATATGCCAAGACATCTGCCACTACAAAGCTGCACCTTAGCACTGATGTTCGAAGCTTCAAACAAACGACACTTTACATTTCACACAGATTTGCTAACAACTTAGCATTGCTGTTTCTGCTCTTGCAAGTATTGTAATGCTCAGGGAGTATAAAAAGTAGAGTCAGCTTTATATCTTGTTTTTTTTTTTTTGTAGAAAGCACCACCGAGATTTCTAGGTGTGTGTTCCTTACTTCTCTCCTTGTTATGTTCAGAGAGGTAGCAGATCCACTGGGAAATCGAACCCTGGTCGCTATGTCCTAGGCGGGTATCACCTCTTTGCCAAAAGACCCAGAGCCACTGGCAAGACTTTCACTCACTTAGCCCACGTCACCATTAGAGGGGTGACAGCGATACATAATACTTTAGAATTTCATTTTTCTGTTTTAGGTGTAGGGCAGGACAGTGGTGCTTTGGTTAGCATTGCTGCCTGACAGCTCTGGGGCCCTGGGTTCCAATCCAGACCTGGGGTTCTGTCCGTATGGAGTTTGCATGTTCTCCTTGTGTTTGTGTGGGGTTCTTCCAGGTGCTCCGGTTTCCTCCCACACTCCAGAGAATTACTAGGAGGTTTCCTGGATTCTGGGCCGAGTGGCCCTGAGGTGACTGTACAGTACGTCTGTGTCTGTGTGTCTGCTCTGCAAATGACTGGTGCCCCAAACAGGGTGTATCCTGCCTTGTGCCAGTTGCTTGCCAGGATAGGCTCCAGCTCCCTCCAAAGACACTGTATAAAGCAGTTAGAAATGGATGGCTGGATATTTTAGCTGTAACCGTTTGTGACTTTCCACAGCAATAGCAAAACCATGAAAGACACATACAGGTATCATCCCAGGTTATACTTAGTGGTAATGCCCTGTGCTAATTAGGGGGTAACCACATTACCATACTGGCCTAAAATGCATTAAAACCATGCTGCTGACTCTTAACCATCTCTAGATTTTCCTTTTCTTATGTAATTTTCTATCAAGAGTAGAAATGTAAAAATACCTCTAATGTTATATAGACAGTGGAAACACTGGTCCAAAAAAATTAAAAAGTTGAAAAAAGCCCCTGTTTTGACAGGGTGCTGACTATATTTTATGAGTTTTATAGCACAATGAATGCTCTGTTATACCTTGGTTATGAAGCCAATGCCTTGTCTGAGTCAAAAAATGGAGTGCTCTTAAAATGTAACATTATGATGCCTCTTAGTAAAAAGCTTGAAGAGAGTGCTTGGAAATAATAATAAAAGTAAAAAACCCTCAAATAATACTGGAAGCGTTGGCTCTTTTTGCAGAATACACATCTGGAAACATCTGGTCAAGAAAGCCTTGCCTCTTCTCAGAGCAAAACAGGCTCTTGCTTAGTTCAACTTTAAAAGCCGGGGTCCGTTCGTGTAAACAAGCATCTGGTTTTGAAACAGGGACTGCTGCAGGACTCATGCTCAATTTCCTGATGCTTAAACTGAATGTCGCTGCCAAGGCACAGCACTGAAATAGAGCTCTTATTCTTAGACACATTTGGTGACTACGGATATACCCACACCCTGTCTATACCGTGAATATTGCATTAAATTATACACTGCCTTCCTCTACAGTGCATACTGAGCTCTGATGTAAAGTTATGTAATATTTCATCTAGCAGAGCAAATGGCAATATAGAGGACACAAGATTTTTCGATTGAGCCTGGAAATAGTCTGGGTACATCCATCTGTTCAGGTTGATCAGAGATGTGATGTTAATCAGGATCAAAATTCGTCCTTGTTAGAGATTTCGCCACACAAGATAAAGGAATCACATAAAAAAAGAAGAGCATGGGCAGAATTATTCCCAAAACACACGCTTGAAATATCTTTCGGTAAAGCTTTTCCCAGACCACAGAAAACAAACAGAAGAAGGTAACAAATACAGAGCACAACAGAAACAAAACTTGCTGTCGGAAAAGGTCAGGTCTGCACATGGCAGTAATCAAGTAAAAAAAAACACTCAATTATAATGAGTAACTAATTCAGTCGTATGACCCCAGACCACCAGACTCTTTTGAGTCAGTGATGTAGATCTGCAACTAGGAACTGTCATGTTAATGAGTTGGATTATTTTAACTAGTAACATTTGATCAGGTTAGGCAAACATTTTTAAACCCTGAAGTCAGTGACCCTTTATAACATGCATGGAAGACATATGTAAAGAAATGTGTCAAATATACACGTGTAACTGAAATGCAGCTGAACATTTTAACCAGAAAATTAAAAAAGACCCAGACTCAGCAACAAACAGGATGTATAATTATTACTTCTTATACATTTGCTCACATACTGTAGCTAACTGGTGTCTGGACCCTTTTAGAAATTTGCTTTTAGAAATGCACACCTCTCTAATTTAACTTTTTTTTTTTACTTTTTATTCCAGAAAAAGACTAAGTCGATACTAATGAAATACAAAAGGGAGAAGACTATTTTCCTTTGACAAACACAGACTAAAGACTTTGAAATGAATATATGAACACAGACCCTGCTATTGAAAGTGCAGTGGGCAACCACCGACAACAAAAAATGAAATAATTGCATACTCAATCTTAACAGTTTCTAGTTGCCTGGGATATACATGAAAATCAAGACTCATGTTAATCCTCTTGGGAGTGTTTTTTTTCCATTTTTTCTGTTCATAAATATTTTGGGATAAAAGCAAGTTTCCACACAGTACTGGCATGGGGCTTAGCATAATCAAATACCAAAACATCCCCAGAAACAGAGAGACAGTAAATAGAAATAACAGGAATTAGCAGCGGTGATATGAAAAGCACTCCTGTTTGACTACTTTGTCCCTACCGTGTGGTCGGAATTCGCAGATGAAGCCTCTTTTGGAGGAGCAAAGGTGGGTGTTGCACTGGCCGGTGGAGTTCAGGGAAACGCAGGTGTTCCCTGACACCTGTGCCTCTTTCTCCCTCTTGCAGTCATCGCTAGCTTCCAGAGCCGAGCCGCTAACCCACTGCAGAATCCCAGGACTTCCAGCGTCGCTGAGTCCAACCCACACGCCTCGGTCACTGTCAAAACACATACCGCCGTGACTCTCAAAAACCACGAAACAGGAAACGGGAATCGATATTGATCATCCATCTAAAAGCACAGCTAGAGTATGGCATCACAAACATAATCAACTTGTGAAATTATGAGCTCACGGGCACTTATCGAGAAACTGGACGTGCTGATGCATGATGAACACCATCTTGTGAATGGACCTCCTGAAGACATGGACATTGCCTGTGAGAGTCAGTAGTCTACTTCCTTTTTGGGTTAAACTTGGCCATGCTGCCTGCACCCTTAAGAGACTGTCTGTGGTATATAGTAGTGAATGGCACTCATATCCCATTAATATGTCCTTAGGTTTACTAATGTCCACCACTGAAGTTTAATTTTTTTTTTTACAGAGTAACTTTTGGAGTGTGTGCATCATCTTAAAAATCAGGCTTTAAAAACCAAGATATTATTACAATATCCTCATAATTATTATTACAACAGAATTAGTGCAATCATTTACCGTAATCAACAAAACTGTATTACACACACAAAGGCACATAAATATAGGACAGTCCCCTTTAATACTGATATAAACATGAAGCTGTCTTAGTTAAATATTTTTTTTTAAATGTCATTACATATAATAACATGTGAAACAATAATACAGTTTAGACCTAATTACAATAGATAGTAATGAACTGATAATCTTGTACGAAGGGATATAAAAAACCCCACTGCTCTGGGACATATTAACTTGTGTATTGGCATTTTTTATTTATTAACGGGCGAGTGTTGATTGCAGTTGGTGAAAAAGACATTTTCATGTGCTCCAGATCTGTGTGCCTGGTGTCACTTAACAGCACGAGCATGAGTTCTCCTGCTGTGTAAAAGAGTGAACTCACTGCTTGAGGTTTTGTTTTTTGCCAAGGATGAGTACAGCAGGTTGAGGGGAATTACATTTACTGGTGTTTGCAGGCAATATCTGTATAAAATCATGCAGACAGCCGTCGGTTTGTTCCTCTTGAATTTTTTTTTTAATAGACATTGTTTCTGATGGGATTCTGCCAAATACCACATCTGTGAAAACTGCAAACAGACAAGAAAAGAGGGGAAGATGGTTTTTTTTCTGCCAAAAAAAGTGTTTCTTACAAAAAAAAGCCTTACATAACGCTGACACCCGGGAATGGGTGAGGTGGCAGGCTCGGTTCGAAACCGGCCTGGGGGGTTTAGTCGTGGGGTTATGGTGGGCAAATGGTTTTAATGATCAGATGGCTGCTCTGAACTGGAAGCCTTCAGGCACAAGTATGAGCTCAGCCTTCAGAGGCCCCTTGACAGGATATGTTCTCATTTCACTGAGAAAACTGGCTGAACATCCAGTAGCTGGTTACTGGAAGGGCTGAGTCTCGCATTTTAAATTAATGAGCCTATGGGCGTGGGGTAGAACAGGAATAGCTTACCACTCTGCTACATGCAATTCCCACTAAGAAATAGGGGCTGCCATGCTGATTGGCACACAGTTCCTAATATTATGGAATTGTATTTAAAACGGACAGATCTGGAAAGTCCTTACGTTGACTGAGGATAAAACTAGATCAAATGCAAAGTGCATCAGCTGGTACAAAAATACATATTGCCTAAATTGAATTATTTTGTTCCTATATTATCCAGTGCATTTTTTATTTAATACTCCAAACCTTTTTAACTTGCTTATGTGTTGGGAGCTTAGTGCTGGACCCATGTTGATTCTTAGTTTCTTTACTTCAGTGGCTCTTTTCCTGGACCCTCAGAGTTAAGATAAAAGCCTATTATGTATTAAAACGTATCACTATTAGAGTTAAAGTACTGTTACTGGAGAAGACGTGAACAATAGTTGCGTTCTTCTGAAAAGACAGATCAAAGTTTTCTATTTATTTTCAACTGTTTTAATTGATAACACTCGCCAAAAAGACACCCTCATACTCATGGAAGCAGTACAATAAGTCTTAGAAAGTACAGAAAGTGGCAACCGGAATAATATTTTAGGTTGCTAGAGAACTGGGCATGATGGGAATATATAAACAGCAGCGAGTTACAAATTGCTGTAATGTGGAAAGCCTGACTCCTGGAGCTAAAGAAAGGCTATAAAGAGTTCCACAGCGCAAAACCACAAATATAGAAACAGATGTTGTTTTAATAAGAAGGTTTTCTCTACCTTCGACTACTTCAAACTCTTTCAAAACCAGCCTATTGAGAAGAGAAGCGCCTTTTCCACGTTTGTGCTGCCCAGAAAAACAGACAGCCATTTCCTTTCCACTGTGGAGGAGGTAGGCTTCCATACAGTTACAATCAGCCATTCAAACTAAATTGGTACTGATTGGCTCAGAATGGAAATAAAAGGAGCCTGTAAGAATGGCATTTTGTGGCAATTTCATTTTACTTTTTTCCTTAGATATAACAACACATATTTTTGGGAAAAAAAACCTCCTTCATAGTTCAGCAGCATTAAGAATTTTTAAGGTCTTATTCTTTTACCTTTTTGTAACACTCTTCTGTGATAGAGAGTCTCAAACTCAGAATAACAGTACTTCAGGAAATCTGTATTTACAGGAAAATGCTTGGTTTGTTTGCTCCTTTTATACATTAACAAATTCCAAAGGGAAACCTTTCTTGGAAAAGAAAATCCCTTGTTTAAATATTAAGAGCTTGGACCTGCTTTTGCATTTTGTTTACAGTGTCTGTTATCCTGCCACCAGGTGCACTGTGATAACAAGGTGAAAAAACAAAAGGGCATGAGACAAACAGTGCTCAACACATTGATATCATACTCCACCCAGCCACCCTGACCACAAGGGTGAATGAGCGAATGTGGAGGTGCTTTGGATTTACAATGTGCTTGTCCCATTGAGTATATGCATGGACTACGGCCCACTGAAGATGTAAAACTTTTACCCAGCTTGTCACAGATACTATTGGTTGCTGGAAAGTTATTACAGATGACTCCAACCATCAGGAAAACGTATCCATTGATTTACTTTTAAACTCTGTGGTGAAGAGAAGCTGGCAGGGCTCTGGACTATAACAAAAAGTTATATGTCTCATATTTAGGTCCTAGAGAGCAAATGATTGGAAGGCGTTGATAGACTTTCTCCCACTTCTAGTTCACTAGTTCAATAGTTGATTAGTCAGGACACTCTTCACCCTTAGAATGTGGCTACATATACTACCACAATCCACAGTGCTGTGCATTCATGTGTCACATCACATGTCAAACACAAAACATCTCCTACTGATCATCTTTCAGCTTGGCATGTTTTCCATTCAGCAGCATCCTCATTTTACAAAGGAAATCTCTTTACTGATGAACTTTTTAATCTTGTTCCAGTGTCCTGGCTAAATTCCACCTGATGAATCTAAACCTGAATTTACCCGTTGAGTCAATTTGTGAGGTTCTTTTTCACTTCTTACTCTAATCTACTGTGAAGTGGGCTGGTGGCACAAATTGACCGCTGTGCATCACCCAGGTGGGGGCTGTATTTCACTAGTTGGATGAGGTGGATCTTCTGATGCACGTGTAAAAGGAGAGGAAACTTCTATACAAGTGCAAAGAATCATCACCATTACCAACGTCATTATACTCACTCAAAGACAAAGAACCAGAATTCCCAAATAACCCTTTCAACATGCTTTTTCAGACTTTTAAGGGTGGCTTTACAGCAATGCATATCTAAAACATGTTCCCTTTTGTTCTATAAACACTGCTCATCTCTAGAAACTTCCCTGTTTCAACAAGGCAGGCAAACAAATGCTAAGAGTTTAACCCTGTCTCTGACTCCACAATTCAGACTCCGCTGCACCCGGTGGGATTGTGGGAAGTGGGTCATGGTCCTGAAGGTCTCGACTCTTTTTGCATAGTACACTCCGTCACAGGGCAAGTCATCCGTCGCTCAAGTTCCTTACTTTCGTATATGTCCGATCAGGAAGTTGCGGATGTGGGGAGTGTTCACTACGGCCAGGTCACCACTTCTGTGCGAAAGGCACTGCTGTCGGGCCTCCAGCCAGGGAGACTCGCCTCTGAGCACATGGTAGCAGTGGCCGTTCTCCGAGCAGACGAGGCCTTCGGGCGGACAGTACGGGGTCGCTGGAAGGCAATAAGAAACACTGTAGAGGTAAGCAGGAGCCAGTTATAGGCGTTTGTTTCTTAGCTGTCACCGCAGGTCTTTATGGCAAAAAGAGTCCAATCGCTGTCAGAAAACCACCCATCCCATCACAAGATCCCTGGAAAGGGATGCCAATCCATCACAGGGAATTAACAGAAACATAAGCACACTTTGACAATTTAGAGACACCAATTAACCTTGCCAACATCACCTAGCACCAAATAACAATTAACAATTGCAGTAGCTCAGTTAGATCCTAATAAATGAGAGAGAAAGAGAGACGAGATACAGTATGAGCCTGTCACAGAGCCTGTCATTGGGCCTGGGTTTCGGCTCTGTACAGGGCCTATGTTTTCTTCCTTCTGTGAACGTCTCTCCCTCAAGGCCCTCTTTCCTGCACTGTGGCCTGGTGCCTGCCATATGCATCTTCTGAAAATCGAGACCTTCCCTGCAAATTTACAATTTGCCTGGTATGCGAGATGATATGCATCAAGCAAATTGCTCAGAAGAACTTAAGAAAGGTTATGAATGAGAAAGGAGGCTGTTGGACCCATCCAGACTATTGCTAGAAACAAAATCATTTGAAGATCTCATCCAGCAGTTTCCTGAAAGAGGTTAAGGCTATCAGTTTGAAGAACGTGGCTTGGTAGTTCTAAAGATGGTTAAAAACAAAACTATAAAACAAAAGACTTCTCAAAACCAATTTTTCTTTCTTCCCTCATTGACACCAAATTCCAAACTTTCTTTGACCGGAAACAAAAGACACTACTATTTCTTCTCCACTTATAATAGAACTACGTCTGTTGCTTGTCAAGTCAATGACTAGTCTGCCCTGAAGAGGCAGATCTGCACTAACTAATCCTTCATCCTAATCCACAGCTGCAATGGATCAATCATTGCCCAATTAAAATTCCCATATACATATTAACTTTAGTCACCTAGTGAAGATCAGATAAGGGCATAATTATTACCACCTCATCCATCAAAACCACATAGGTGTCATCTGGGCCACCATATACTTTTCTTCACATGCCTATATCTGGCACAATACATTATGCAGGGGATTTAAAACAAGTGCATCTTTCTAATTACAAGAATAGCTGTCACCTTTTTTCTTTTGGGGGCTGACAGTTTGTAATTGCACTCCTATCCTGATTTAATTCAATGTAATTAAATAGAATTTTGTCTTATGAAATTAATCTGTTGTGAAATGCATACATGATTTATGGAATGTTCATGCGCGAATCGATGGGCTCGCAGACATGTAAATGAAAAGAAATGTGACAATTTAGCTGGCAAGAACAGATCAATCTAATTTCGCAATTAGAGCATCATTATCAAACATTGCCTTTTCTAAGAGATATCTGTCAGTTTAATAGTGTTCAAGGGATGATGTGTGCCGGGTCCCTGAGCACATGTGATATCAGTGCTCACTGCATGCCACTGAACACCATTTCTAGTTGCTCTACATTTGGACGAATCATTGCAAGCCATTATAAATATGCAAAACACAAACACAAACAGGGAGAAAAGGGAGATAATTGTTTTTTTCACCTAACTTCTATCCCTGATTTGCCAACCTTTTCAATGTTTCATTTTTCATCATTGTGCATGCAAAACAAATCCATTAAGCAATATAAAGAGCTTAATTTTTTTTTCTTAGTGGGGGGGATCAAAATGCAGCAGCTATCTATCAGCCTGAAGAAATGTGTTGTTAGGGAAGAAAACAAAAAAGAACACTCTACTTCGGGAAAATGATCACAGCTTAAAGGTAAACGGTGCACAGACAAAGCACAGCACAGCAGCCCAGAGCAAGTAACAGTTTTGCAGATTATAAAGGTCTGTGTATCAGCATTTATTTTAATAAACCTAAGGTACCGTATACGCTTTTTGTGGAATTGTGGGGAACAGAAGCTTTGCAGAAGCTTATGAAAAAGGGACAATTAAAATTCTTTATATATTTCTTTAATTAAAAGGAATAATAATATAATTAAAAGAACTATGTAATGGGACACAGATTCAGACAGTTCTGGTCTGTACTACATTTCCCAGAAAGCTGTGTGGCACTACCTGCCAATATATAATTCAAAAAGTCACTTTTTGTATTCAGTTTTGCCAACCAACAAAGTGATAACACAAATGGGTAAATTATTATTTTGTCTCAAAGTGACCAGCACCCTACAGGCCCAAATAAAGCAACTCTTAAATTCCTCAATTTCCTCTCATTGGGAAGTCTCTCAACAATAGTAACGAAACTCATCTACTCGATTTTGTAGTGAGACTTACCTCTGAGAGTTTCGTTGCCATTGCCAGTCATTCTCCAGTCCACAGCAAGGTCTGTGCCACCCAGGTTCCAAACCCGGACGTCGATGCTGTCGTTGGCGGTAACTACGGTAGGACACTTTACCTCCAGGCGGGCCGGAACGATGACGTCAATGTCCGTGTGGATGGTTTTGTCCTTGTTTCCCGACCAGAGTGTGACCTTCACCCTGTACCTCCCAGGCAGAGCATACTTGTGAGAGGCCCAAGTTGTGGTGGTATTGAGCAAAGGCGTTAGATCTCCAAAGTCCCATGATAAAGTGCTGACAGAGACCGAAATACTGATGGAAAGTGTGGCTTCCTTGTGGACGCTGAAAGCCTGCAGCTGGCGGAAAGAGGCAGCAAAGTCCACCAGGAAGACCTCTTTGGCCAACGTCCAGCCGCAGTTCTTCATCACCTGGTTGTCCGCGCAGGCCGCGGAGCACTGGGATTCACTGATGAAGTTGGGCTCAGAGTTTGTGCTGCACAGGCACTCGTTTTTGGAGCCCAGGCCCCCATACAGCTGCCCCGTTTTGAAGCAGTGAGCATTGCAGGAGTCCCGCGTGAAGTTCCCTGAAGTCGACGATGAAAAGATGACGAGCTCCTTCCTTTCGGTGTTCGTATCGAACAAGCAGGCTGCGTAGTTTAACCCTGGAGAGAGCAGAAAGGGGGGCTTCTTAAAAGACCATCTGAAACTCATGGGATGTTTAAAACTGCAATACCCAAAGGTATTGCACCTGTGATGGAAACACAGTAAATACAGACTCTCAAGTGGCTGGACTGGTAAATGCATGTATCTTGAGCCCTGTTGTCCAGATAATGTTGATTCATGTCAGATCACCTGTGACTGTCATTCTCAAAGAGATGTACAGTAAGACAGCAGGCAGAGGCTGTTTTGGGTGGGTGTAAGTTAGCCAGGACATCCTCAGCACACAGCTTACCTGTAACCCCTGTGACATGGACTATCACCTTTGAGGAGCCAGGACTGACTAAGAGCTGCACTAGTACTAACTGGTTTCCTGCGTGACAAAGGACAGATGGTTTTGACATGTGAATTTCAGGGGGAAGTTTTCCCTGTGATGGTGGTACAAGGGTACTAAGCAGAGTGGATTAACACACAGTGTTTGAAATACCTGGAAAAAAATTAGAAAATACTTTTTCTAAAGTATTCTTGGTTAGGTTAAAGACTTTACATATAAAATACCGCATTCAAGCTTTCATTTACAAAATCTTTGGTTTTCAAAGGGAAAAAAAAAATCAAACTGGGAGATGTGAAATACAAATACATTAATGGAGTTCAGAAAGACGATGATATTTATATATATGGGCCTCTAGATCACTGCTTCTCACCAACATTCATACCACCAACAACCACCTCTAGGGATACTGGGTGAGGAGTTCATCCCTTAAACTAAGCAGGTGTAAAGCAGTACAGATTCCTTCTGAAATCCCATTATTGAGGCTTGCATCTTTTGAAATCCGATAATTATTCTGCTCTCGCACTAGGACAATCAATAAGAAAAACGATCCTGGTCATACTCTGTGCTTTGAGATCACCTGTCGCAAAAGTAAAGCTGGGACTACTCACCGCATATAACACTGGAAAGGCTGACGTTTAAAAGAGGCAGGTTCTTCACCTCTGGCGGTTTGGCACATTGCATGGATTCAGGTTGGTGGACAACCACTCCCCTCTCCGCTATCCAACTTACCAATCGGAAAAGTTTGCAATCACAGACAAATGGATTGAAACTCAAGTTTCTGGAAAGGAAAAAGGGAAATAAGACGATCACAACTTTTCACAACTTTTCCCTCATATGGGGAAACAACTTCCACTGCTGAAAAGAATGAGAAAGTCTCACTTTTTCAGATTTGAAAAAACAAATGCCAGGACGCATTGCTGTCCAGGATACCACCCAACACCTTGAGCATCGTAGACTTCACCTCTACTTCAAAGGCAACAACAAACACTTCCAATAAATATCCCACTGGCTTTGTTGAATGATTCAAATTTAAACAATCCTTTGGGAATGTTCACATTTTCATTGAGTCAATGTGTTATTAGAGTATATGATTTATTTCATTAGTCCTTAAAATGGGTTTCAACACTGATGTTCATCTGAATGCACAGTATATACTCTAAAATGTGTTATTGCTGTTGTTATTGTTATTGGTGTCACTGCTGTTCCTAATTCCTAACAATGCTTTTGATTCTGATGTAGTGAACTAGTGACGTTCACAGACAATACCACAATTGAGGGTCGAAAACACTAAAGAAGCAGCAGGAAAAACTCAGAAATCAATATGTTCAAGACTGGGCAAACACCTGGCAAATCTGGACAAGTAAAAGTGATATAAGTATGAAAAACGCTGAGTTTGAAGAAGCTACCTAATGAAAAAAACTTGGTTGTTTATATTTACACCTTATTTTCCTGCTCTATACAAGGTGGGGGAACCAATAAAAAGGCAAAAATATGTTAGGAGAAGATGGAACGTTAAAATTGTCCAATACATTATTAAGGCCTTATTCAGAATATTTTGTAAATACTGTATTTTGATCACCAGGATAGAAAATGTATGGCACTGTTCTGATATCACACCAAAGAACAACAACCAGGTACATTTCTAGGCTTAAATGAATTTCATACAAGGACAGGCTAAAATAACCAAACATTTTCAGCCTTGAACAGAAAAGGTTATAAATAGACTTGATTCAAATATTTAAAAAGCAAATGGACGTCTTCAACATCAACAGTGAAAAACAAACCAGCAGACACAAGCTTGAAACTATGAGGTAATAATATAAAACTGAGAACATCGGGAACTTTTTTAAACATTACCTTCTATAAATAGTCTCCCTAATTAGTTCATACTTACTGCTCGTTTGGCCTAATCAGGAGATAAATGAAACTTGGCACAGTGGGAGTCCAGATTTAGATATCCAACCACATTGTCAAAGTCGACACCCCTTTAAAGAAACATTTCTAGGAACGTCTTGCAAGAAATGGTTGGATGACGCTCTTGGTTCAAGAAACTACTTCCAACCAAATGCGCTACATCAGCCAAATGGCCGTGTGTCGTGTGTAGCCTTTCTGGTGTTCTTATGTGCTGTTAAAATTGGCCATGCATGTAGTGAAGGAAAGTGCAGAGTTCGTATGCAGAGTTTTAACAGGGAAAGATGGAACCAAGCAACTTTCTAGGTAATCAAAGTCTTTAAAAATCAAAGCAGAAACAACTACAGAGAATCATGCCAAACAACCAAAACGAGAAAATGCATGACCTCCTTTCAGTCCATATGTGCTCTTGATGTGTGTGAAGGGTGTTTCTTTGCGTGCAACAGACTCTCTGAGCAGATGACATAATGCAACCTGTTAAGGAAATGCCTCATTCATAAAAAGTCCAGAATTGAAGAGGCTGTGAAGTTTTGTATTCTCAGAGTGGGAAGCAGATTATGCAAGAGACTTTAGGGATTTTTCCCAGTGCTACGAGCTGTGGGTTGCCGCCAAAGAGTGATGATCTAACCCATATGATAGATGGCTGGGAAGGGCTGACCGGCGCACACACTGAACACTGCCACTTCAACACTGTGCAATGCTCACTTGCAAAGCAAGCTACAGATCACACATTGGGGCACCTATTAACTTATGAGCAGGGGGACCATTGTCAAGGACAAAACTGTGCACTAAAATGGGATCCCATGCCCTCATACATAAAAGGACATTTGTAATCCATCTCAGCTGCACAATTTGACTCAGATTCAGCTTTTCTTCATTTTTTTGTTATTTTGATTTGAAATCCTTCACTGAATGCTTTGCAGGAACGGATCAAATTATTATTTGTAGCACTTATGCAACAGGAGTTTTGCAACAGGAGTGCAAAACTGTGTTCACTCACAAAGCTTTAATAAAAGTGGAATGTATTGTTCATTTCATCTTAGACCTTGACTCGGAATAATATTTTTTTTTGTCTCAGATTACAATGGTTTTGCAAAGATTTACAGATTTAGCAAAGATTTAGCTAAGGGGATTTCTTTGCATAATAAAAAATAATGTGCATGTCCAAAAAGACTGTGTCATGAGAGAACCAAAAGTTTAGCCTGTAGACCAGGGGCATCCTAGTATGGCCCCAAAGGACCCAAAGGTTTCTGATTTTCATTTTCACCCCTGCACTCAAGTTACTTATGCCCGCCTGAAACTAAATCTTGAAAAACACTACTTATGTCTCAGCTGACAAGTTGACCTATAGTACACATCTCCATGCTGCTTTCGCATGTTTTCTTAAATGTGATTAAGCACATAATTCTTAAACATAATTTATAGTGTCGGATATCTACAGTACAACGGCAATAAGCGCCTGAACAACCTTACTAAAATACATCTGAGAATGAAAGAATGAACACAAGCTGTTGCTTTCTGTAAAACTATATTCTCCTCCTCAAATGAAAATGTACAGGGAATGTGTTTTACCGTTATTTTACTATAGATTTAACTGGAGAAAATGCACACATCTTACATTTTACATTGCCACATAATGTCAGCAGTATATAACTAGCTGAATATTACTAGCTGTTACTGGAGAAGTATGAATATATTATGGATTGATTAGGGTATTTATAGAAAGTAACCATGTTTACCATTCAGATTCCAGAAAAATGAAAGAGAAATAGCAAAATGATAATTTGAAAGATACTTATGAAGCATTTCTGAGGTTGAGTTACGATATTACTAGACCAAGCCCGGGTCACAGCATGACCTAACTATGACTGGGTCCCCTGAGATGGTAGAGCACCATACTAGAGTTATGCCATGGGTAGGTTGGACTCAAACTAGCCTGCAATTTGACAGGCACCTGCAGGCTTGAAATGATGCTGGTGAGAGACATGTTGTTCTGTTTGGCACTAATTCTCCTGTCAGGCAGTATGGTGCCTGAAGTGTGTCAAAAGATAAGAGTGTCACGGGACCACAGGCCTTACAGACGTCGTGATGATTCCAAACCACGTTGATATGTTAGAAATAACTGATTTTAGTTTTTTAGAAAAATAAGCATTTTGTAGGGTGGCAAATAAAATCAATGCACAAAAATATTATTGTAATGTCACACTATCTTTGGTAACTAACCAACTGTGTTAAACTCAACTCCATGTAAGGGCAGCTTACAATCCTGTACTGTCCCAATACATCCGAGAGATTTAGGGATAAACATGGACAACCTACTACAGTTCCAGGATGCCAAGGCATCTCTCTTCTGAAATGAAGTAGGAATGGGCATGACACAAGGGTGTGTTGCCCATGTCGTAGTCCTGAGAATGGACACAGTGTGCACAGAAAAGGCTTTTCGAAAAGATGGAGACAGACATTAATCTTATTGTAATAAGGAGGTTAGATAAAAGGCATGGACAGGCTACTCAAACAGATGCAATAATGTTGGCAAGCCTCATGATATAATTTCAGAACCCTTAACGCACTTCATAAGGTACAGCCTTTCAAAAGCAACATGATTGGTACAAATAACTCGGAAGCTGGGGCCAAGGCAAAGGGGTTTTGACATTTTGCTTTTCTGTAATTAGATGTCATTATATTTCCATGTTATTATTTGCTTGCTTCAACGTATTCGATGCTGTTTCCATTTTAAACTGAAATAGTTTTAAACAGGTATTCCCCTGCTTACCAATCATAGCAGAGATACTTACATTTCACTTAAATTAAATAAATTATCACATATTCTTTCTTCTAATGTAGAAATCTGGTTGTTGCTTAAATCTCTGCAAAAGAAAAAAAAACAATACATTTACTAACAACAGACAATGAGAGTGCACATCCAGGAGAGCAGAAGATTAAAAGTCAACATTGTCCTTTTCCGTGCCTCCTTTCAATCTGATCAGCTTTTTCTCAACCACGGGGCTGCCAAATTAATCAGCCTTTGTTTTATTGGCTTGGAAAGTCAGGCGGAAATCTCTGAAAGCATCAGAACTGCCAGACATCGGAGGGAGGCTGGGCCTGGAAACTTTGGAAGCACAGCTTAGAGCATTGAGCAATACTAAGGTTAATTAGACTTAATAGCTCAGCAATTGACATTTTTTCTTTCCCTTAACAAGTTCCTTATTTGGTGCGCTTTTCAGGGTTGCTGTGTCCTTAACTCTAAATCACATTTATCATAATCGCTCATGAGCTAATTCCGACAAAGCACAGATGCATGATTGCATAGTCCATTGCTATTCTGCGCGAGTGCACAGTTGTTGAAAATTGGGTCCAGTCTTTCACAGTCTCATTCACAGCCATCAAAAGACATACAGAGCACAACATATTACTGTCCTCAACAACCCTCACAGCTCTGCCGCCACCCCTACAACTAAGCCTCTTGGAAGTTTTAAAATAGTGCTCTTTTAAACCCCCAACTGGAAGTGCAAGCTGATCGGGGAATGTAACACCCTATACTTCACAATCTCATTGCAGCGGCAATAGAATAAATGTTATTACCATTCAGGATTTCTTCCAAGATATCATCTTTACCCCTATTTCAAACTTGCAAACAAGTTACTCACTTGTTTAAAATGAAGCGATTAAGGAGCTGTGAATTGCACAGGTTTAACAAATTAAGTCTTAAATTATACTTTCTGATTATCCGTGGTTACTTCTTCGTAGATCCTTCTCGTACATGATAAGTGTACACATGAAGTTCTCTGCCAAGATTCTGCAAAGACTTCTTCAAGCAAGGAAAGGCAGGGAAGGAGCAAATTTCTGTCACACCATATCTTTCATCTCAGATAGATATATGTTATAAGGTAAATAAAAAGCATATTTAAAGATCATCAATAATTCAGAGTTCTTTTTATAAATGTAAGTGGAAAATGATAGCTTGCTCTAAAAGTTTAATCCCATAAATACTTACATTATGGATAATGTTCTACATCCAAGAATCCCATGAGGAAGAATACTTAAACGGTTACCTTGAAGATATCTGCAGAGGAAGAAGCAGACAGTGAAATTGTGCCGCCTAAGGAAACTGGATAATTTCAAGATAACGTTTTGTTTCACAGCAAAGTAAATGCAGTCTTTTCATTACACTGATATTTAATATGAAATTGAGTAAAGACAATCATTCAGTTTGAAAGATATAGTCTGTTTTGTAAACATTTATTATGAGTCTCTGTCTATTCCTTGCAATTCAAATAGCAAGAGAACAGCTCACTCACACATCATCATATTTATAAATAAGGCCTATACTGTAGTCAGCACTATGCTTCCTTCTGATTTGTAAGAAATGCTGTATCTTCCACAACACACTGCACATGGGAGCTTTCTGACAAAGATCATTATTTAAAAAAAAAAGAATTTAAAAGAGTACTCACAATTCTTTCAAGGAAGTCAGATGATCAAAGACACTGGCATCTACAGAGGAAATTTGGTTTTTTGAAAGATCCCTAGAAGTAGAAAAGGAATATCTATATAAATCTGTAATCCTGACAAATTAATCAAGATTCTAAATAAGGCTAGGAAACACAATTATGAGACTCTACGAAAACTGGATTGCATTTTAGCAGAGGACATTAACAGATTTTTTTTCTTTTTATAGATTCAAATCTTCACTATACCCAGACGTTAAATGATTTTTCACTTTGAAATATTTTTTTTTCTACCCGTAATAACAATAACTTTGTAATAAAAAATAATAAGAACAAACAAATCTTAAAAAAAAAAACTTTAAAAAGCCCTTAAGTAGTCCAGTTAAGACTATAGTTAGTTTGGCAATCACAAGACCTGAGTGACAATGAGAGACATTTCCTTTGGTTGGCACTACACTGGCGCACTGAATGAAGGCTGAAATTGGACATTTAAATTATTTAAAAAAAACATCGAGAGGCAAACAATGACAAGTAAACTGTATCCAATTGATCAAATATTTTCATCACCGTGCGTTAATGTAACATAATATGAACGGCATACCATTCAGAAGGCTGTGACCATTTAGTGATGAGCAAGACTTTCTGACTTTCACCCCTGAGCAAGGCACTTAACCCCAGCTGCTCCAGGGGTGCTGTAAAAATGGCTGACCCTGTGCTCTGACCTTAAACTTTTCTCTCCCTGTCTGTGTGGCTGTGTGTCTCATGGAGAGCACACTGGGGTATGCGAAAAGACAAATTGTATATGTATATTGAAAAGAAATTGTATATGGCTAATACAAGTGTTCTTATCTTAATTTCACGTTAGCTGCACCAATGTGCTTTTATTGTGTCTTTTGGTTGCCCCTGCTTTAAAACTGCAACTGTTGCTCTCTTGAGTTAGAATCGTTCTGGACATTTCAGTGTTCATTATCTCCGATCTGCTTTATCTTTTGAATGAAAACTCCCTACGGTCGTTTTCGACATCTGTTTCCAGCTACAGTGCTACATAAACCACTGCCCTGATAAGTGCTGCAGCTCTGCGGCTCTCAAAATGTGTTCAGCCCATGACATCAACCTGAAGTCAGCGTAAAGGCGGGCAGCCCGATGCCAGGCATCACAGGTCTCTGTCTGATGCTATCCAGAACACATGCAGCACTCCTGCCAATAATGATGTCATTTTCCCATTCTCTAAATCAGTGGTTTAGCCTACCAACATCTGAACCTGTGAAAACAGCAGAGAAATAAAAAGACCGTCTTTCATGTGCTGTCACTGCATGGGCTGTTTCCAGAGGTATAATGAGAAAAGCATTTGTATACCCTGCAAGTGGCTGAAACAGAGTTCTGTCTGCTGCTCTGTCAGATATTGATAAGGAGGTGTTTCACGTCCAACTCTGTTTGCCTCAGATGACAGCCACCATTCCTCCCTGTTTAATTCAATCTCCTCACAGCACTTGCTGTCCTATAGCGGAAGAGTGGATGTGCTCTTTTAAGAATAGAAGATATTCTCATGTCAATATAGTTTAAGTGTCAAAACGTCAGTTTTGGGTTGTAGTGTTAAGTATCCATTCTGAGCATAGCATTTTGATAATTAGGATTAAGAATCAACAGTTCAAACTACTGTATTATTTCTAGCCTTGAGCTTCCCATGATGGACAGCATATTTGTCTGATAATTGCTGTAGCATTAAACTGCTCTTGTTGGGGTGCTCAGCAAAAAACCTTTATTTATAAAACAAAGAGAATCCACTAACTGATAATCCACAAAGGATACCCAGGCTTCCAAAATGTTTCTTGCACATCTTACTCTAAAACGTGACTGCCAATTTCTAATTTTCTAAACATTTCGGACTTTTGGATTGAAAAGGAGATTTTTTTTCTTTAAAGACTGAACTCAAACGGTCATCATTACTTGCCATGAAACTGTTGAGCTGTATTTAGAAGTGGAGTACCATGGAAATACATTTATGTTTTTAACCGCAGCATGTCTTTTTCTGGAACTCTGCAGAAAGGGGTATGAATAATTACATCAGGTCCTCTCCAGAAGAGTGACATTCAAAGATAATTTGTCCACAAATTACAATGTTGGATAGAAATTACTTAAGAGTGTTTTGGCTGTGCTTAATTCATTTTCAAAGTGCTATTTAAAGGCTGAATCACTGTCATTGACTAAATGAGTCAGTGTACCTTTCAGACGTTTCCAGCACAAACTGCTGGCAGAATAAGAAGGGAAACGTGAAATTTCTAACTAGAAATGAATAAAAAAAATTGCAACATTGCTGCCACTTCAAACTTTTCTCAATCAAAATGCTCAGTTAATAATCACTGCAGAAAACAGAGATTCTGATCCATAACTTTTCTCGGGGACTGGCATCTAATATGTGTACATTCACTTGCTATCTAATGGTATATTTATGCTAAGTGCTGCCTTTTGTTGGTTAAACTCTGAATCCTACAGCATTTTAACAGGTGATCATGGGACTAGAAAGACCGACCTATTAATTGAAATTTGATGTGCTGATGAAGGCTAAATAATCTTACAGTATCTCTCCTTGAAAAGATAATGACTATTCTCTCTATGCTTGTTTTTTTTTTATGTGCATTTTTCATCTCACACCTCTTAGGGCAATCATCAGAAATAAAAACATCCTGAGATTTTTAAAGGCAACAATTTTTCCATGGCATTGAGCTTACCAGAAAATTACATTACATATGCATTATTCTAGATAAGGTGAAGGAATTTATTCTGAGGGTGTATTAATAACTCTACAGTATAACAGCAGCAGTTTCCAGGCACATTATAAACCTGGTGTCTGTATTTATTTCAAACACCCAAGTATAACTGATTTAACATTTGTCGGGCTGCTAAAAAACCTCCTGAAAACCTCTTTATGAATTAAAACACGTCTGATAATTATAGATCTAGAAATAGCTGTGTTCATTTTGTTCTCCTTTGATATTATTGCTGGAGAAGGCTTATGTCAGACAAAGTTCATATCTGCTTTCCAGATATAAAATACGGACATACTATATGTCTTCAGTAGGTCCTTTATTAGAACAGTGGGATACATGCTGGTATCGCACACTTTAATTTAAACTTGAAAACTAAGAGAAACCGACAACCACATTTAATCAAATAATAAAATTCTACCAACATCTGACAGCAAAACCCATCCACAAATATCTGGTCTTGAGCTGTTTAAGAGAAATATGCAAGGCATTTTATCATGTGATACCTGTTCCCACTGCAAATATTTTTTTTTTGTAGGAAATTCAAAGGACTTTTTCTAGCAGAATGCTATGTATGTTGATAAAAAAAAACATTCTTTCCCCTGAGGTTTTCTGTCACCATGTTCTCCAAAAAGTTAAGGACATATTTTTAGATGGTACACGTATACACAATATCATGAGAAATAACAGAAACAAGAGAAATTCATACAGAAGTCAGGCACAACAATTATGAAATTAAATAACATAATAAGAATCCTCCATGCTTCTTGTACTCTTTGCTTGTGTTGGGTTGTTTTTGTTTTAACTCGTCCTTCCAACAGAACGAGAGATTCAACAAGGAGGAAGGTCACATAAAAAGCAGGCAGGGTATTAATAACCTCTATTTGCTAAAACTTCGAATAAAGAGGTTGACAGTGACAGTGCAGTTGCCCTGGGCTTTATTCCAGACCTAGGGTGCTTGTCTGTGTGGAGTTTGCATGTTCTCCACAGGTTTGTTTGGGTTTCCTCTAGATGTTCTGGTTTCTACCTACAGTCCAAAGACATACTGGTAGGAAACTGTGCGTCTGGGAAAACTAACCCTGGTGCAAGTGTGTGTGTGTGTCTATGCCTCTCTGTCTGTCTTGCGATGGACAAGAGTTCCAGCAAGGGTGCACCCTGCCTTGTGCCTGTTGCTGGAATAGGCTCTGACCCTTGAACTGGATGAAGTGGATAGAAAATAGAATGGATGAATGGAATAAGAAATCCATAAGTGGATGATACAGTATCACATTCCTTGACCTCAAATGTCGTGCAGCTACACGTGATCTTTGTATACATTATCAGTCTCCCTGGATAAGGTGACTCACATCATCCACTCAACATATTTGGCAGTGTACGATAAATAGCTACTTCAGGAAAAAACAAAAGCAAGAAAAATCCCCTTTTCAGAAAGCACATGGAAGGTGCTTCGGTCTGTACATTCGGTCAGTAATGACTGCTGTTGTTCTTTTCTATATCAGTGCCATTTTCCCCCCTCTGTCATTCGCCTGCCTTTGTACTCATATGAACGCCGACCTTGTAAACCTGCCGTAATTAAATGAACAGTCAGATATTCTTCTTGGAGGCAACTGCATTTCCTTACAAACCAGCACAAAACTGTAAAAAAAAACAAAAGACAAAACCTACGACAGATAAAATGACACGACGGCCTTGCGTAGCGGCAGAAAAGATTACTTTGTCCTTTGCTGCTCTAGGTCACAGACAGCCCAACATTCTGCTAAAACACATGAACAGTGGCCGGGCCTGTAAGTTGGTTTTCCCTTTCTCCGCTTCAACGGGGTGTATTAAGAGCAGTGTGTGAATAGCTGGGCTGTAATTCCCTAAAGGAAACATCTGTACATTCCAGACCCGTTCTGTAAGAGGAGCGAGGCTCATCTGAAAAGTCAGCCATTACAGCCTCCAAAGCTGGGCTTCAGTTTACTGGCAGGCCTGGAGAAAAAGTCGTGGTAAAGTCATTATGCTGGGCTCTGGCTGCCTGTATCCCCAAATTAATCATTAAGAGCATCTTAACAACACATCATCATCTTATGTAATGCTTTCTTACTTTTTTTTAAAGTCATCTTTCATGTTACATAAATATGGAAGTCGGTAATTAGCCTAATTTCTTGGCCACTTCGGTTTATTGGACAACTGGACAGCCATAGGCCTGATACTCGTGTTATTGCTCAACAGCAGCTGTTTGATAAAAATTCAAGTCCCTAACCAGACAAACCCTTCCCCATTGAGGAAGAATGAGAAGGGTTTCTGCCTTTGATTTCTGGCAAAAACAAGGCG